CACGCAGCCAAAAACAGGGAGAAGTGTTTTGAATCTACAGAGGGATTCAAAAGGCCAGAAAAATCCAAAACCTTTTCCAACTGGCTCATACAACATACTAAGTCATAAGGTAATTTGTCTACTTTGGGCTTTGCATGTTGTGTGAGCCCACCCATTGTGGTTCATAGACCAGACTTCAAGGGTCAGCAAGCTGGGCAAATCGAAGTTTGTCCAATTAACTTGAGTTAACCAAACTATGGCTCGGCTTTACTGTGTAAATCCTGCCTGGAAATCTAGTTGAAAAAACCCCTCCCTTCTGCCCAGAAGAAAAGAGGGCTTGGGTTCCAATCCTAGGACAGAGCATTTGGTTGGAATGTGGAAAAATCTGGGTTCATTCTCTTTAAAGTGTTTTGGTCTATGACCGTATCTAAAATCAATCTCTTCCATCTTCTCATAAGGGCAGAAAATAACCCTGCCTGAAACTCTGTAAAGCAGATGCCAGACAGTGTTTGCGATACTGGGCAAACAGAACAGTGATCAGAGTTAGCAGAAGCAAGCCTCCTATGTTCTTAAAGAGGAAGAACTCCACAACTTGGTTTCAAAGGGAAGGTATGCCTCCTATGAAATGTAGGAGTAGATCTGAGGAGAAAGCATGCCTTCCAGAAATGCTACATGCAATGCCAGATCATCTATTTGGGTAACTCTTCTATAACATGACAAAAAACATCCTGTGTTCATTTCCTTTCAACCAACTGAGCCTTCTCCCTCCTTCCAGCTCAATGCAATCTCCTTTCCATGATAAAAACAGTCCTTGTTTGCTGCTGTGTCTGACTGATTCAATGACGTTCCCAGGGCTAAAAGACATGAATGCTATTTCAAGTCTGCATTAGAGCTGTATTTGTTATTAACTACAAATGCTAATGGCTGAGCCAACATTAAAAGGACCTGGAGCATAGCGAAAGGCTAATAATATGACCAGGTTAATTTTCATAGGAAAATGTGAGGGTTTTCAAACAAACAAACAGAAAAAAAACAAGTTAAAGATATTAAATATAAAAACAGTGCTATTATATGTCCCAGAAACAGCTGCATAAGAAAAGTCACCAGGCACTTGTGAGTATCAAACCCCCCTTCCGAGGGGACACGCCTGGATTCCTAATGTTGCACAATCCCCAAAACAAGGCAATAAATTGAACGGTGATTATTTAAGAACTAGAGGACCATCCTGCTCAAGATGTAGCAAAATGGAAGTGCAAAACAAGACATCTCAGATTCAACCTCATTAAAAATGATTAGATGGTAGGTGGTGGGATACAGCATTGCCTGAAAGGATATCAATGATTCTTGTAGATCAGGAATGGGGAACTTTGGAGTGGGGAGAGGGTTGACTGGTGTGCTAATGCACCACCCTACGTGGGTGGAACAGGACAAAGAAGTAGAAGAGGCCAAGAACAATTAAAATTGATTATTATTTTTATATCAGAATAATGACATATAATTAATAAGATTTCTCCTAAGATGTAGTAGTAGTAGTAATAATAATAATTATTATTATGTATCATATATAGATATATATTAACATATAGATTCTTGCAAACACTTTTGGAAGTGTCCCAAGGACAAACACAGTCCTAGAGCCTGAGATGGGATAGATGATAGATGGCACAGAGTCCTGGGATAGATAATATCGGTCTAAATCAGGAGGAGGGAATCCACAGACCTCCAGCTATTGCCGAACCACAATTCCCAGCATTCCAGCAAATGCGTCCAATGGCAAAAGGATTTAGGGATTTGTAGTTCAGCCAACATCTGAGCTAAATAGACCAATTTTCTTGCCCGGTATGAAGTACCTTCCTAAGAACTTAATCCAGAAAAGGATACGGAAAAATGCCAGAGACTATCAATCATTGGTCCATCGGGTTCACCACTGTCTACAGACTGGCAGAAATTCTCATTTTTCTGTTGTAAAACCAATCAGCCCACCTTTTTGACGTGGGCAGATATGTGCCACTACGCTGAGATTCTTACTGCTTGAGAGGCTCTTTTGATGTTTAAAAAAACAGCAGCAGTAGCAGCAGGTTCATTTTACATTTGATTCAAAAGCCATCCACCAACGGCACCTCGGAAACATTCTCTGGGAACCCAAATATTGTAGCTGGTCATGGAAGAAGCACAGAGAAGAAAACAACAGAGATACTTATTGGGCCAGTGAGTTCCACTGGTAGCACGTTCACAGACAATTGGGAGTAGTTGGGATACTTTTTCCCCACCAAGATGACCCCAAGACTCCCTGTGAGCTCTGTGGCCAAGACAGGTATGAAGATGGGCTTTATTTTATTTATTAATCAAAACAATTTATATGGCCGCTCATCTTTTATCAGATAACTCTGGGCAGCTAACAATCATCAAACCAGTGTAGATAGAAAATATAAAGCAGGACCCCCTGATTTTTTTTTTTTTTTAAAGCATCCCAGTCCTTCTCCAACAAGCTATCACAGGAGAGGACAACTTTATTTGGAGAAGACACTTTAATTTTCTGGCCTCCAAATAACTAGTAACATCTCACTAGAGTGAGCAAGCCAAATTATTCAGAGAGGAGGTTGCCCGTTAATCCTTCAAACCCTTGGAACAAACAGGCTCTATTTTTTGGAACTGAGTGGTTTTTTTAAAGGGGCTAAACTTGGTGTCTTGAGCCTTGCAAAGATAAGGCTTAATCCCTCTCCCTAAATCCCATAAAATGCTAAAAGGGGACTAGTAGTTTAGTTTAGCTATTATTTATTTTAATTTCTATAGCCGCCCATCTCAACCAAGTGACTCTGGGCGGCGAACAATCATGAAAACAATTAAAACAAGCACAATACAGCACAAAATAAATATATATGGCAGCCAAGAAAAATTATCCCATAATTACCAGTATGGCCAAGAAACGGGGCCCTTAACACATTTGGGGCCCCAGGCCTGGACACATAAGCAGGTCTTTAGGGTCTTTACAACCATATCAACTGGGAGAGGGGAAGGTTAAACCTTGGCAAAGATCACTCATTTCATCTGTTTAAAAAAATTCAACTTTCCCCCAAATTGGGCCAATTTTTTCTGCTCAGTCCACTTTAGACTTGAAAAATATACCTACCTGACATTTTGTTTAAAATTCTGATCCTGCGGACGAGTCACAGTGAGCCAAGTTTCAAACGGTGAGGAAGTTTTCTCAGTGGGACTGTAAATCCCTGAAGGCAGGGATTTATAATAGAGTTTTTGACAGTATCCTTAACTATGGAAGTGCTAGTAGGAGCTGCTAATCACATTAGGTTAGATTATAGATGGCAAGGAAGACTTTTGAAACCTGGCTACCTTGGCTTTGCTTAATTTATAGTGTTCTTGTCCAGAGGAAATCAAATTTCATAGTTATGACATTTCTTTCCAGAGTACTAAATGTTAACTTTGCTGAGCAAGCACATTTTAGAGACAGGTGGTGGGGTACTGCAGAGAGGATGTGGAGACAGACAGCTTTGTTCTGGATGGCAAATGTGATGTATGGGGTAGAGGACAAAATCATTTCATTCAAAGATTTCCAGGGAGCCAAGATCTTCTGGTAACACAGAAGCAGCTCAGTTAAAGCTTTACAAAAAGAGCTTTGAAAGGTAAATGGCTGAATGAAGACATTCATGGAAATGTTCTGCCTGAGTGCCATCAGACAAAGCTCTGATGCTCTGGTGTAGCCTATGACAATGCTTGGTTTGCATTCTTTTCTTGCTGGTCCCAGGGATTATCATTTTCACTTTCAAAATTGCCTGGATCAGCCTTCCCCAACATGAGCATCTGGAATTCTCAGCAATGAGGAATGCTGCGGGTTGAAGACCTCATACTTGGAGGCATCCATGCCAGGAAAGAGGAATAAGGGCACGATAGAACCACTAGAAGCATCATGTGAGCCCAACAGGGTCTCATGAAATCCAGAAGGCAGCTGCCCTCTGAAACAACACTCTCCCTGAGGTCCATACCACCCCAACTTGGTTGTCCTTCCAGAGAGCTTTAAACACCACAGGCACTGTTGTGGGACATTATGTGAGCCCCCTACTTAGTTGAGTTGAGTTGTCTGTGACTAATTGTTGTGGTTTCCTCCCTGGCATGGCCATTTCTATTCTTGTTCTTAACTCTTTCAGGGCCTAGAATCATGCATAAGTGAGGGGGTTGTAGAAATCAAAATGATAGACAAATTAAATAAATAATCAGATACTACTTTACCAAACATTCTTTGGCCCTCTCTCTTTGTTTTCCAGCCCTGAACAAAATTGTGGCTCTGATTAACTGGACCGCAACTTTAATGATTTTTTAAACATGTGTATTTATGTTTTTTTTTAAACCATGCATTTTTAAAAAGTATATAAAACAAATGCAGTAATAAATGTATTATTACATTTACAGTTCACTTTCCTCCAGATATCCATTGCATTATATCTTCAGAGAAACCCTGTGAATTTTAAAATTCAAAAATACACTGGGGGTCAAGATCCAGGCTGGGATGATCAGACACAGGATAGGCAGATATCCATTTCTTCCCTTGAGTGACTCTATTCCCTAAATTTCTTTCCCTGAATAGCCAGTTAAAAAAGCAGAAGAAAAAAAAAATCCTCTATTGGCAATTTCATTCATACCTATCAGTTTTACATGTGTCCATCATTTCCCAGTTCTGCAAAAGGAACATGGTTTTGCCAGTAATATAAATTATAATGTTGTATAAATAAAAAATATGGGAATTCTCAATTTCTGCTTTCCTTTGTTCTATGATCTACAAGGCACATGGTTCATTTTTTATATGATGGAACAACCATGCTTAAATCCCTCCTAACGTGAGAGGGAAAGGAACCTATCATGTCAGAAAGAAAGCTAGTGGACAACCATTTCTCCAGCTGGCTTTCTGGGTGGAGGGAGGAGTGCGCCTATATGAAATTTTACTTCCTGCTGAAATGACATCATCTAACCCAACTGTGTCACATCTGTTTTGAGTATGTTCTGAGTCTTACCTTTATTACTGATGCTCCAGCTCTGGAAAGTGGGCTATGCATCTGTGCAGCTGCAGCCATGTTTGCTATAGTATTGAGATGGTTCATTTGATTCATGGCCATCGCTACAGAAGCAGGAGGTAGGCCAACGGGAAGAAGAGGATGGGGCATCATCATAAATGGTAGATCTATCCCTGAAACACAAAAAAACACAGCCCATAAATAAGTCAAAAGATACGATTTCCTAAGGTTTTCACCCGTAATTTTATTCAAGAGGGTGAAGGTTCAACGGAATGAGTCAACTAGGACCATAATTAGCCTGAAATATTTTCTATACTTTGCAGTTGAGGTTGAGCTTCAAGAATAACAATGGAGTTGTATTCATATACACAAGAAAAATAGGGCAGGTTTTTAAAAAAGAAAAAAAACCCAACTTGGATGGATACTCCAGGATTGAAATGAGATATGTAACTGAAGGGCACATACCAACAAAGACAGTTCTCTAGCCAGCAAGCTACAACAAAAAAGTATTAATCTTATTTTTTATGCTAAAGATTGCCGATCTTTAAAACGTATAATGAAAATATTGTATCTTTCAAAAGAGTTTTGTGATTTATGGAGCATCAGTTGCCTTGAACTTTGTAGACAGATATAACGAATTCAATTCTAAGAACAGAATTCATGAAATAAAAACTGGTATGCCTCAAAGATAGATAAGAAAACAACCCCAGACCTCTTTAAAGTGATCATCTAACGCAGCAACAGGACTGGTAGCACATCTGGAATTCAGAGTGTACACTGGTACTGCCACAGAACTGGTTTACCTATTTACAAGATGGCTACCATGATGGGTGTCATCAGTCATAAAGCATCTATTTTTCAGAGGACAAAATAGGGAGGTTGTTACCTATCACCTTCTCTACCACCCCCACCACCTTGATATTCTCTACTAACCTAAGTTACTTCTGCCTTTTTTTCCTGAGGAGGTAAGCACATTTCCCACACTATAGTTCACATATGCTGTACGCATTTCAAATCTAGATTTTCTAAAAATGGGAAATATGTGGGTCCCAGAGGTATTCCAGATTCCCATTAAAAAAAGAGAATGTAAAAAAAGAGAATGTAAATAAAAAAAATAAAATCAGGTAGAAGAGGAAGATGGCTAAGAAGTTATCCACGAGCACATAAAGTACATCTAAAGTTCTGATGTTTAAATTCTCAACCATGACTTCAATGATAAAAAAATGAGCCTGCATAAGTCCTTCTCAGAGGGAAAGAGAGGTATCTTCTAGGTTTACAAGCCAGGTGATCAAACTACGGTTTGATTTAGTTTCTGTTCAACCTAGCTGTGGTCAGAGCAGCAAAAAGGTCACCTCTAAGAAGGGAATTAAGTTCTTGCTTTCAGTTTCTTCCCTCCTCATCTGTGAAAAAGAAACAACAGGAGACCCCCCCCATCTCATTCAGAACCCTCTACCTAAACCAAGGAGAAATGATCACTTGAACTATGCCTGAGATATGCAGATGCCAAGATATTATGATCCCAATAAATCAATATCAGCAGTTGCGTCTATCTGGAAGACAATATGATGCCAGAACAGATGCTGGGAAAATCCTTATATCTACATCTACATTTATCTATACACAATACACCAAGAGCTATGATTGGTTGGCAAAGAATACGTGTGATCTCTCTTGTTTCACTAACCTCACCCAGCCCACCTCAACTGCTAATGGCAGCCTTTGTCCCCTCATCAACTCTTCCGCTGCAGTCTGGTAATCTTTCCTTATACTCCATGGAGTTTCGGCGCTCCCAGACACCATCTGTCTGAATTGGGCTGCCTATCTCTTTACAATCCAATTGACATGCAAACTACATGCAAATGACAAACAGAATGTAACAACCCATCGTTGTTTTAAGAGACAATATATCATAGGTTTTCAAAGGGGGGGGGGAGAAGGAAATGTGTCTGCCTTCTGCAGATCAAGCATAATTATTTGTTATTCAATAAACCCTCGAATCACTATGTGGAAGACAACTGAGAAGTCAACATCAACCACAGCAACAACAATAGCGATAAAACGATAGCAGCAGAATATACAATAAAATAGAACATTTTTGTGGACTTTGGAGAGACACCAATCGGTTTCTGCGGCATGAGATTATCCGGGGGGGGTGGCGGGGGGGAGAGGAAAGCCTAATTTTCAGTGATGGTAAACCATTGAACAAGGCTTGGTAGAATTAACCACGGATCCCGTGTAACTGGGGTTCATCACTTCCAATTTTATAAACAACTGGATATTCCATTAGAAGTGATTTTGATCTTCCATTTCTTGTCGGCAAACACAGACACAACAAGGAGGTAACGGGCACTATTCATATCCAGCTGAGGTTGATGGCAAAATATTGCACCGATTTTCACCAAATTTTCACAGCCCAGTGTAGGTGACACTAAAAGATGCAAGAAGGGAACTGGCATATTGCACAACTCCCCCCCCCCCCCAAATTCCAACCTTAAATGTAGGGGGAGGATGGAAGATGGAGGATAGGGAGAGACACCACAGCTCCTAGCTCTAGATCTAACACTACAACACAAAAGAAAAAAATGGGATTGAAATGACAGGCCTTAAATGACCTCATTGTCCCACAGAGATTATGACATCACTGGAGGAAATCCCTGTTGAATGCCAACATCTCAGCAGCTCCATTAATGCAACATGCTTCACTGGTTTCTAAATTAACCAATTTGTTGGGTTAGCACAATACATTAACTACCAAATAGTTCTGAAATAACCAAATGGGCTGCATTAACAAAACATGGTAAGCTCCCCCCCTCCAAATGTTCAACATGAATCAATGTTAACCAGGGTAAGGATAGCTACCCGAGAGATGCTTCAGACAATCTTAGTGAATCCTGAGATAAGCGGATGTGACCCACACTTCCCAAACCAGGTGCTAAGCAAACTGTGACCTCGAGTCCCTTCTCAGCAGTGCCTGGAGTCTTCCATGAACAATATAATTGGGGGGGGGGGAGGTCATGTTTAGAAAGGAGCTTGGCCACCTCATATTTCCAAATAGACCACCTCCATTAATATTCATCAGGTCTTCTAGAAGCCACCGATTACCAACCCATACTTTCACAGGGAAAGTGTGGAAGGACACATGCCACCCATTCATATTTGCAGCTTTCCTCTCATATTCTGTTTAAGGAGGGGCAACAAATGGTACAGCCTGCCCCAACAGGTGAAAATATATAGTACTCAAGTTATTTGGGCACATGGCAGAATTCCATACGCCCCTCTTCCTTTTCCTGGCAGTGAAAGGAACTCAGAAATGGCCGCTAGAGACACCGTCTCCCTCCGCTTGATGTCAGGGCTGGCCCTGGGATGTTTCCAAACACGACACAGCACTGGGATTTTTGTGCTAGCATACGTACTGTTTGTGAGCAGATGGTTTTGTTGCAGAGGACTAAGTGGATGAGTGGTTGCCAAATTGGGCTGTCCTGACAGTGCTGCGTGGCTAATTCCGTGATGAGATCCTGTCGGGATTGGAGACTGGAGCTTCTCTTTATCCCATGAGGATTCACTTCCACCTAAAAAACAGCATACAGAACATTGATTTCCCCCCCCTTTTAAAGATGGCTGGGCTTTTCCCTAATTATTTCCCCTCTCCCTGAACAGAATCATCAGACCGTTTCCCTTACTTATTTTTTTTTATTAAAATACTGATGACCTACCCCAAAACAGATTTCAGGGGTCCCCAAACTCTTCAGCTCATCAAGCCCTTCATGAAGTTTCAGATTGTTCATTGACCCCCAAACATTTATTATATGAAAATAATTTAATAAATATGACTTTTAGTACTACGAATGATAATAATAACAATAACAATAATGGATAGTCCCATTGACCCTTGGGGGTCGATACTGACCACTTTGGAGAAGCCTGGTGTAGGATATCATTGATAAAACAAGGCAATTAACCAAAATAAAACACAAATGGAAAATCATTAAAAACAACCTACATGAGAATAATGTCCATGTAAACGTACTGTCTCAGATACTCCAAAATGTGGGAGAATAGATACTTAAATGAAGCCAACACTGCTGTCAGCATGGCCTCGGGGAGGATGACAACCCACAATTAGGTACCATAGCCAAAAAGACTCTTTATCACAAATCTACATAATCCACTGATTCCAATTATGGGATGTAGAGGAGAGGTCCCTTGGCAGATCATAATTCTTGGGCAGGTGTACACATTCCCACCCGGATTAGGAAGTAAACAAGCAGAAGGACACCTAAAGGTGAGTCATATTCCATGAATTCTAGCTTTCTTCCTTTTAATAAATCTCAAGAGATGAAAAAAAAAAAAAGGATGAAAAGTGGGAGAAAGCACCTGTCCATGTCCCGGGTCACCATGTGTCCAGCCAAAGGAACAATCTGAGTCTAAACAGGTAGCCACAGTATATACATGAATCCTAGAGATGTTTAATCAGGAGCCCTGGTTTGCAATCCCTTTCAACTGTAATTAATTTGCAAACCTCCTAATTGAGTGAAAAGAGCCTGCTGTGTTGTTTAGAGCATGGGAATTCAACAGAATCTGCAATTCTCTGAGCAGGAAGCAGAAAAGGGTGCCCCCCAACTGGGGGACATTGATTTCTCAACAGAGAACCATGAAAATAAGTGCATGAGTGCTGTTGACATAAAGCATCTTCTATACATTAGACAATTCAGAATTTCTTAGCAAACTTTCAATAAGCCAGGCACAGTATGTAGACTTTTTGGTGGGGGTGGGCTGCAGGTAAAATGCAGATGATAACAGACCTAAGTCATCTTCTTTCATCTAATACAGTTGGTTGGATACATTTTCTATCACAAGGCCTCTCTAGCATTACAAGTTACAATAAGCCATGGCTGAACTGCATTAAGCTACACCTGGCTGGGCTTTCAGAACAGACTAAATGCTGAATCATGGTTTATATATCACCATGAATGGATCTGCAGTGTACCCTAAGCCAAAGAAAAATAAATCTTTTTAAAGTTTGATGCAATGTGTTAACTCCACCAATATCTATATGCACGCGAAATATATAATCTTACTGACATCCTTATGTTGGCCTATGACCATTATAAAGATGGATTTGATTTACATACATCCAGTAAGAAAATTCATTCTCCCCTTTGAACCTGGCCAACTTTCATAAGTCTCTCCTCCTGATGTAAAAATAGATAAAAACTAAACTCCACTTAACCTTATCTGCACTCTAAACCCTATGCCAATTTTTTTACATATAGACCAAAACACTCAAAGGAGATTTCTGCTATATGGAATGTCTTTCCCTCTTTCCACCCCCTCTATTCAATAAAATGATTCCATTATTTTATGAATTGGTAAAAGGGAGGTATGGTTCGGAGAGTCTGTCTGGATTATTGACAATGCCAGGAATTCATTAACTTGATTTCCAATTAGAATCCATAATACTTCATTGACATGTACGGGACGGTGGCAGGGGGAAAAATGTATCTTAATTGAAGATAACAGCACAGAAGCATTCTACATTCTTTACGATGAGCACTTGGCTAATAAATGTGATTCATGTTATCAAACAGTAAAATCTGAAAGATCAATGACTGAGCAAAAAAGAAAATGCTCCATCATTTTTATGCGTACAGCCAAGCTATGAATTATCTTTACTAGTGCAAATGTGTAATTTGCAAAAACGATGAGCTTTGCATGGGCAAAGAAAGATGTGTTTATGCCAAGTTAAATTATATCATATGTTCTAATATAATGTGGCATAATTACAGTGGAGTTCAATTGTACGGCTGTATTTGTGTCAGCTGGTCATCATAAATTTGACACACTTTACAGGGACGACCTCAAATCCATATTGACTGGAATGGGGTACAACTCAGACTTCGTCTCTAGATATATATTCTAGAAATGACAGCATTCCAGAATATAGATCTATAATGAGCCACTACATACCAAGCAGCTTTGAAAAAGTAGAAGATAGCTTGCTGGAATCTGAAAGCTTATCATCTTTAGCAGTTCAATTCCCCCTATGTTTTCCAATTTTTTTGGGGGGGGGCTTTCATTTCAATAAAAATACTCTCCAAATAAGAAAGACATCTTAGGAGATGACTGCTTCACACAGTGCAATATCTAGACGAGTTTCCCAACCATGGCAACTTCAACTCCCAGAATTCTCATCAATGGCCATGGTGGCTGTGGAATTCTGGAATTTGAAGTCCACACACCTAGAAATTGCTGAGGTTGGTAAACACAGGTCTAGATGCATTGCCCCAAGTTTTTTAAAGTTGCATCTTCAAGTGTAAATCCTTGGGGGGGGAAGTACTGTGTGTGTGTGTGTGTGTGTGGCATACTTGTTCTAACTCAATTGTTCTTGTTCCGTCTGTATTTTTCTTACGTTTGTTATACTTTATTTTAAAAAAATGATAGTTCTACACTGAGTGTGAATAGTAGCAATATTTGTAGGTAAAACACAGTCAAGCATAAATGCAAAATCCAGCATAGCACTGAGATTCCTATCAGAAGCAGAACCAGCACTGACTTGTAGAAAAGTTTGGTGACCATGCCTACCAGAAGATTGATATCGCTGGTTTGGATTTTGATTCTGATCATTTTTTAAAACCTTTTCTTACTGTGTGGCACTCAGCAGTGCCCAAGAATGCCCCACAGTGTGTACTTTGTACTCTTTAGTTATAACTTCCCTTCCGCTTTGCTGCTTTAATGGGTCTCAATTTTAATGGATTGCTTTAATATTGTTTACAAAGTGAAAATGCCATAAACCACTTGGTGTGTGTGTGTGTACCGGCTTCAGCAGAAAGATGGCAAGGAGTCTTCAACACATAAAACACTTTCCATCTACCCATTAATTCTGGTTTCCAAAAGGTCCTTTAACAAAATGGTATCATGGTTATTTGACACCAACATTTTGTTTTGTAATTATATCATCTATCTAAAAAATGTTGGCTAGATGCTGTACTCATAGCCAACACACAGTAGGGTGCCTTATCGCTGCCCTTCACTATATAAGTAAATAAATGGGAAAATGTGCTCTGGTCTGTGACCAAACTTTTCAATCTCTTCCACTGAAGTTGGAAGTGTCAGAAGCAAACTGAGAGCTCAAGAGATTCATCCACATTGCATTTTATTAATCTTATTTATCTGTCAGTTCTTAAAACTTTTCTTGGGTGGGCAAAGAGCATAAATATTTCTCCCTGCTCACATATTACAAGGTTTGGCCTTTGGGCAAAAGATCTTTCAGCAGTATTATGGAAAGAGAAAAGCTACATTCAAGCATAATGTCTAAACAAATTATTTACACTCACGTATTTTCCTAGCATCCTTTTATCTTATGCAGCAAATATTTTATAAAAATGGCAGCACTGGAGAAGATGACAGTTGGAATCAAAAGGGGAGGCTGAAACATTAACCCTTTCAGATAGGCAGATGATACCCCTTTGCTAGTTGAAAATAAAAAGACTTAGAAGAGCTTAGAATTAAAGAAAAAATGGAAAGTAAACCAGCTGGGTATTAAATATGAGTGTTAAATAGTAGGGAGACAAACATAATTTTGTGTTAAATGGTGTTTTTTCCCCCCTCTAGCTCAAATATAAAGAGAATATTGGGAAACCAATCCTACCAAGGAAGGCAATAACAAAGACAATTAAATTCCAATTAAACAAGATCAGAAAGTTAAGGCAATGGTCTTTACACTGGTATTGTACAACTGTGGAAAGTGAATATTGAGAATGTGTGAAAGAAAGCAGATAGATGCCTTCAAATTACAATTTTTGGAAATGCGAAGAGTATCATGGTCTGCAAGGATAACTAATCAGTCTTGGATCAAATAAAGGCTGATCATTCCCCACAGGTAATGATCAACTAGCAGACACTCATATATGCTTGGGCATGCAGTTGACATACTAGAAAATGTGATCAGGGTTGGCAAAGTTGGGGGAAGACAACAAATATGATGAATGGATTAAAGAAGTTACTGGAATGTCTTTTAAGAGATACAAATAGGTTACTGAAGGCAGATGAAAAGGTTATGGAAAATGGCCTGATTCCAAATATCCTAATGTGTGATCCTAGCATTGGGATTTTGAGTAGCAACGTTGGAAGGTCCAAACACAGGTAGCATTTTTAGGAACCCTCCTTTATATCTGGCAGCTAAACACACCAAGGTAAGGGACTGCGCAGGATAATTTCCCAATGTGTATAACAAAATTGCCATATTCTTCTCAATCTTAATGTCTACAAAGGGCTGCAAAGGAACCCAAATGTTATAAACAGATTCATGATCAAGACAAACTTGGTGCTGAAACATTTGCCTGTTTGACACAGGCAAGATGAATCAGTTTCTATGGCTGATAGAAGAGAGAGAGAAAAAAACCTGACTTGTTTTTTTAAAATCATAATTAACACCACTACAGGTCTGCATCATTTACTAAACAGCGGATGCAATGTGTAAATTAAGATGATGATCCATACCTGGATACAGTCCAGAGAATGTCTGTATGATAGATGCTAGGGAAGGAAAACAAGGCATTATGTTTTAGAG